TGCTCATACTAATTTTCGATACAAAAGTAAGTGTTGGCGCCCTCACGAGTTTTAGCGGAGTTCTTTTTTTTTGTAAAAGTTACAAGGCAACATTTTGAGATGTTCAGAGACATGCCATTATACACACACCAGTTCTGTACCCTATCAACATCGTCCTGCAAAATCATAGCATCATCCACACACACCACTTCACGATATATTTTAATATCATCTGCATAGGCTATACAATTTGATGTCATGGAATCGATTAGGTCATTAATAAATACTATGAATAAAAGGGGTCCTAAATTTGAACCCTGTGGAATCCCAGAGGTGGAATTATACGGGATTGAATCATAGCCATGCACTGCTACCAACTGTGTACGCCGCGACAGATAAGATACTAGCCACCGGAGGAGAACACCATGAATTCCAACGTGATGAGCCTTCAAACAAAGAATGCGATGGTCTACCTTGTCAAAGGCTTTAGCGAAGTCAATATAGACTGAATCTACTTGCACATGTCTATTAAAGGCCATGTTAAGGTCATGAACATAAGTTAGAAGATTAGTGGAAGTGGAACGACCGCCTACGAAGCCATGTTGTTTTGTACTAATTATTGGTTTTAAATGAAAATATGCATATTTGTAAACTAAACTTTCGAATATTTTTGCGAAACAACTGAGTATGCTGATAGGTCGGTAGTTAGTTATATCAGTTTTGTCTCCTGACTTAAAAATGGGTACTATTTTAGCAATTTTCCACAACTCGGGAAAAGTACCTGTATTTAGGCTTTTATTGTATAATATACAAAGAGGGATCGCCAAAACAGTCTTACACTGCTTGATAAATATCGGTGGTACTCCGTCCGGCCCAGCACCCTTAGTAACATCTATGGCGTCAAGAGCTGAAGTTACTTCCTTCAATGACAATATAATAGAGGAAACACTTCTAGATGACTCGGGAAAACTAGGTATATACGTGTGTGTGGAAGGTTTGTTATAGACAGACGAAAAGTGTTTTGCAAAAAGATTGGCGATGTCTGCACCATTATCTGCAAAGTCCGAATTATAATGCATATGGTGAGGTAGTGAATTTGTAGCCCTTTTTGATTTAGTATATCGCCAAAACGCTTTGATATCGCACTTAATATATCGGATATTTATCAACTTTGATATATATCAATTTTGTATGAAAGCCATACTATTATTTTATTGTATTACTAGCTGACCCGGCGAACTTCGTACCGCCTTAGCGTAGAGATTTTCTTAATATTTTTTTCCGTAAGAACCATCCTTGGACTTCCACAAACATTTAAAAAAAAGAATTATCGAAATCGGTTCAGCCGTTCACACGTGATGCCGTGACAACGCGAAACGGGTTTCATTTTTATATATATAGATTCATGAATACTATTGCATAAGTGTTACATAAACATGTTTTTAAAACTTAAAATCAGATAAATAAAGCAAAAACATAAAATTTCTTTGAAATACGGCAAATTGAACTAAAAAAATAAAAATCTTATGTCAAAAAGTACAAATACAGTAACAAATTTTAAAAGTTGATATATATCATTAAAACCGGCTTGATATATATCGGATATATATCCGATATATATCCTCGAACCCTGATTAGTATGGAACTAAATAAGACATAGGAAACAACAATTTGACCATTACGTCAAGATAAGAAGTAATGTCAGTATATTTTATACTATTTGCCAATTTATTTAATAAATAGGCGTGTCGAGTTACCCAGTTACAGTAATACGGTTTCCTTGTCACAATTCCCTTTCGCAAATGTGGTGTTTTTCCTTATAGTAAAACTGGAGACCGTTCAATGAATGATGGGAGCAAGTTCACAGGACAAAACATATTACTCACAAATTCACGCATTACGCATTTGCTTTAAAGTACAATGTATTCATATTTGTTGGAGTTTCCTTTAGTGGTTAAGACAAAAGTCGGTGCTTGCGGCGGATCCGTCCCAGAATCTCTTTTCTGTTTTGTTATAAAGTAAAAGTCATTATTTTCTGAAAATGGGCTTTTAAAAAGCGCTTTTACATGTTATTTCACGTTAAAGTAACGTAAGGTCCCGTTAGTAACGTTAAAATACCAGTTTAACTGTACCCCTACCTCGGGACATTAAATGGGCCAGTGCTACCACCTCTCCTACGTCTTCTTCTAGAACCAATTTCCAAGCCAAAAATCATCGATTTAGGTTTAGTTGTTTCACAATTTGTGTCAAATGTGACTCACGTCTATTGTTATAAATCTATTGTCTACTTTGTGTCAGTTAAATTAAATTATTAAGGTGTATTGACATTTCTGGCGTACATCTCTATAGGGCCCCATGTTGTGACGTTTTCGTAAGCTAAGCCCCACGGTAGGCATTATGGCTGTGTGGATATTCTTTAGGTGAGAAAACGTAACAAACTAATAGATATAATCGATTGATTTTAAGTATTTTTAAATGATAGAGTCAGTGGGCGTGCCGATTAAGCTAAAAATATTTATTATCTTTTGACAGGAATGATTAAAAAATACAATGGCAATCGTTATCGTAGATAATAAGATATTGCATCATTTAGTTACGTTAATCAAAATATATCAATCAGTTATATCATATAATTACGCATATTTAAGACCATGTAATTAATGTAAAGGCACTATTTAAAATTTAAGTCCACTTTTGCATGCAGTGGCAACCTTAATAAGGCAACTTACTCGGAGTTGCACCATCTTATTTTAACCGTAACTATAACTATAACCGGTGTTTTTGTATGGAGTATGTCTTGTTGGATGTCCTATTAAATAAATAAATAAATAAATAAATAACCGCGTTAACAAGAGTTTGCCTGGACACAATAACAAGCTAGGTGAACAAATTCAGGATATTTTAACAATTAATTTTGTATAGTCGAGAAAAAACGTGTATTTTAAAGATGTCATAATATGCCTCAAAATATAATTATCGACTGTCAAAAAAACTATAAATAAATATCAATAAAATAAGATGAGAATTTCAATTATCATACAAGGTTTACAAATTATCACTTACTAATCCAGATTATTATTGTATTATACTTATCTGAACTTCAGAATCTTTAATTAATTAACTTCTGATAAGTAACTGATAAGATATTTGATGTTACTATGTATGAAAGCAAGCGGAGACATAAGATATTTTTAAGCCCTATAATGTAGAGGCTATATCTCTGTACATTCATAAGTTTTTCTTATAAAGTTTGATCTATCTATTCATCTCTTTAAGAACAAATTGTATCACACCAAAGTCTCTGACTGATGTCTGTCTGTCCTATTTTTTGTGTGATTTATTTGTCTGTATATCAAAACTGTTATTTGTTTGTTTCAGGGTTCGAAAATATCCGATATTTATTATAAATATCAAAATATCGGATATTTATGATATATATCCGATATATATCAACTTTGATATATATCAATTTTGTATGAAAGCCATAGTATTATTTTATTGTATTATTCATGAATATTATTGCATATGTGTTACATAAACATGTTTTTAATGTTTTTAAAACTTAAAATCAGACAAATAAAGCAAAAACATAAAATATCTTTGAAATACGGCAAAATCAACTAAAAAAATAAAAATCTTATGTCAAAAAGTACAAATACAGTAACAAATTTTAAAAGTTGATATATATCATCAAAACCGGCTTGATATATATCGGATATATATCCGATATATATCTTGATATATATCCTTTGATATATATCCTCGAACCCTGGTTTGTTTCCCTAATATTATAAATAAATAGACACATGGCAGCCGGCTTGATAATCTTTGATCCTGTTTTAAACTGTTCAGCTAAACTAGCCTATGCTTGTGGTAAGAGTGAGTTCTTTTAAAATACACAACATTAATAAAATACCCCGTAGGTATATGAATGGAACATCGATGTATATCTATTATCTATTATGCTCTAGATTTCGCGATCCGAACACTCGCTCTGTTCACCTGAACTATACTGCAATCCGTACACTCTTTATTTTAGAGCGACTTTGATATTCAACTATACTCGGTAAGCGATAGCGATAATATGGTTAAAGACGACAGAACTAATGTTTTAACGCTGCAGCGAACTTAGTTTTAATTCTTTCCTAAAAGGAACAAGAATTTTGGTTTACTTCTTTTTCTTTTATAACTCTATGGAATAGAATAAACGCTGTGTTACGCAACCTGTGGTCTGCGGACCGCTGGGGGTCCACGAGCATAAAAGGATGGGGGTCCGCAGCAGCGTTGCCAGTTTTTTTTTTCGCCAAGTCGGGACTTTGGTACTTTTTGAGTGAAAATAGCGGGATTCTTCCGTCCGAAACGGGACATAGTAAAAAAACGTATATAATCAAAGGTTTTCAAATATTTATCTTTTTATTTGACTTAAAATTACGTTTACGTGACAATAGATAGCAAAAGTAGCCATAGAAAATGTATTTTAACAAAAAAGTAGTATTTTAAATCAGTACGGCTAGCACGAAAAACTTTCGAGTTCAAATCGTTTGCGTACTCGAATCGCCATCAAAAGATTTAGTACGGAAACTATGTACAACAGCGCCCTTGTGAACGTGTCGTAAAGTGAACTTAGTGTAAGAAATGGTTGCACGAAACTTATTTTGAGAATCAAAATTGTCACGTTATCGTTTAATTCGAAGGTTGAGTATCGAATTTTATCGAATACGCAAACGATTCGATGACGAAAGTTGTTCATGCTAGAGGTACAGATTTACTCTATCGTTAAATTCGTCTTTAGAATAAAAAAAGAAAAAGAAAAACAAAAATCGAAACGGGACATTTAAATTTGATTTAAAAATCGGGACGTCCCGCCAAAATCGGTACGTCTGGCAACGCTGGTCCGCAGCCTTATCTATGAACTATTATTTTAAGAGTCATATGGTCGTAATTTTACTGTAATTGCCCTAAGTTGCCCCGTGGACAAAATAGGTAAAGAAACTATGGAATAAAGTATATTCTCATCTCACCTGAGCGACTTGGGCGCGGGTTGCTCGATGATGTACGCGTAGGGCGCCGGGGCCTGCGCCATCATGCCGTGCGCGTCGCCCGCTGCGCCCGCGCCGAACGACGGGTCCGCCTGCGAGATCACCTCAACTGCCACACAAACACGTCAAGTTAAACTCAAAAATTGTTCGTATGGATTATTAAATAGTGCTTGCAAATCGTCAAATATTTCTAGAAAAAAAAGGCAACTATACAACACTCAGTTTTGTCAGGCCTGTTCATCTCCGCGAGTTTACATCGAAAACAAAACAAGCACGATGGCACCCTACAGGATTACTATTCGACAAGGCCTCACATACGAGCGAGCTCGAGCATTGACTCACGCATGCGTATTCTTGTGTATGATGGAAAAAAATAAAGAAAATGGTGTACTAAATACTTATTATTCTGTAGTTTTAGTCTTATAAAGCCTTTACAATTTTACATGTCTCATTTCATTTTTGTTCATTGTTGAAAACCTTGGAGGAGGCCTTTGTCCAGCAGTGGACGTCATTTGGCCGAAACGAACGAACGAACGAACATGTCTCATACTCTTTTTGCCATACCAGCGCTTCGAGACAAACATTTGCCAAGTGCTGAGAAGAAGCGCCGCAACAAACATAGTGACCACATTATTGATACAGGAGCAGTTCTCTGAATTAACCACGCATTTTTGTATGGTGTATCTTACAAAAAAATATACAAAATTGCGTATTATAATAAACAGCCCATAATGTTGTCCCGAAGTGGTGGTAGGGCAAGCTATATTTGGGACGTGTTTAGGTGCCCTAGAAAGGGCCTACGTACTGAATAAACTATTTGAATTTGAAACAAAGTAGTGACGTGCTGAGGTTACAATCAATACAAAACCTGGCTAAGATATCAGCTTAGCTAGCATAGCTGACGCAAATTTCCTTAATGTAACACTATGGATACTGCGTCACCTATGCGAGCTCACCTAAGCTATAGTAGCTTAGCTCTTGATCTGAAACCCGGTCAATAATGAATTTGAATTATAATACCAGGGAAGACGAAAATAGGTACGGAATAAGATACGAAGTCTTCCACCAGAACTTTGTCTTTGTACTGGCAAAGAGGAATAGGCAAGAGCTGGGTGGAAAAACGGAATCAGTCCACCGGGAACTGGCTCAACTCGACCTCCTTTGGGAGCATTCAAGTATTACGTAACGCAATTTTTGAAGATTTTGGACTCCCCCTCCACCCCTTGTAACGCACCGTAACGTTTTTCTGTACCTCCCTCCCCCTCTCTAAACGTTACGTAACACTCAATCAAGTGACAATTTTTACCCTAAAGGCGCTAAAAGTTAAGTTGTAGTTTTTGTCCTTGGTATAGTTTTAATTGCTTTTGCGATAATCATCTCCTATACTTATAATAAATCTGTAGAGAGGTCAATTCTGTACATGAAATATATTTGCAAAATAACTATCAGGGGGTGATTAGTGATCGATACTGTGTCAAAAATGCAATCAGTAAAATTTTTGTCTGTCTGTCTGTATGTTCCTTATAGAAACAAAAACTACTCGACGGATTTTAACGAAACTTGGTACAATTATTCTTCATACTCCTGGGCAGGTAGGCATAGTATACTTAAGAATTCCCACGGGAACGGGAATTAGCGGGAAAATCCTTTTGTATGAAAAATCTAAACCGCTTAAGTTAGACGCTTGAAATTTATCATGCAGGTATCTTAGTAAACTTAAAGCTTAGTTACAACAGGATATTGCAAAATTCCCACGGGAACGGGAGTTAGCGGGAAAAAACATTTGTATGAAAAAAATCTAAACCGCGTAAGATAGATGAAGAGGGTAAAACGGGATCCACGCGTACGAAGTCGCAGGCGGCCGTTAGTACTAAAAAATACAAGAGATTTTTTATCCGCAACACCTGCGTATTTTGTTTATTTTTCTATAAATTTTTGGCTTTACACACACACATATGTTTTTCTCCATCATTCCTATCCTATTTTAGCTTTTTTTTACTAATAAACTCTTAAACTACATAACGTGTTTATTTTAACCTTTGGGAATGCAATTATAAACAGAAACCCAACTGAAATTAAACATTTTACTCGAAATAAAATCGTATTCTTAACAAAATTAAAAAATAATCAACTATTAACCAAATATCTAAGTACGAGGGCGGCACTGAAAATTTCGGGAATCAAGGAAGTGAAACAACATTACTATTTAAAAATGTATTTATTGCTTTTTAAAGTGTTCTCCGCGAAATTTGACACATTTTTCCCTACACGAAACCAATCATTGAAGCATACCATTGCATTCTTATTTGTATTTGACTCATGCCAATGTCTAAAGTTGCCTGAATTTCGCGGTATATCACATGTCGATCTTCTTCAATCAGCTTACGCACAGCATCAACGTTTTCTTAGGTGACTGCAGTTTTTGGACGACCTTGACGGGGATCATCACTGAGCTTGACACGTCCACGTTGAAATTCAGGAAACCAGCGATAAATTGTGGTTTTGGATGGGGCTTCATTACCAAATGCAGAAATCATCCGGTCAACACACTGTTTTTGTGTTAAACCACTTCAAAAGTCATAATAAATCATCGCTCTTGAATTTTCTCGAGTCAATTCCATTTTCTCAACGACTAAACAAGTTTGACAAGACCTTGTGATACGACCGAGAATCTTTTTTTAAATAAATAAATGGTATACGATTTTTAAAACCCTGGAGTTTGCAATTAAATAGATTTTAATATGACTGGAACAGTGGAAATATTCCATTCCCGATACTTTTAGTGCAGCCCTCGTAGGTCTATAAAAACAATTCGATTGAAATTAACGCTCCTCTGTCCACGGGTTTGCTAGCCATTCAGATTCTTTCATCACTGGCACCGGGGTGCAGACGAAGACGGTTCTGGAATTGTCAAGCCACTTGCATCAACTTCGTCTTCGTCGAGCCAAACAAATGAGAAATGACGACCAGACTATAATACAAACGAAGGATTCCCCGTAAAACGTAAACGAAAAGGGTTGCCAATTTGGGAGTTTTAATTCGCTAAATTTTTATTAAAAAAAAAAGAAAATGTTACGTAACGTCTTGTAAGAAAGTCCCCCTCCCGCCCCTGTAACGCATCGTAACGTTTTACGAGACCCCCCTCCCCCCCAAATTGCGTTACGTACCTAATACTTGAATGCTCCCTTTGCGACTGTTTTAACTCTCTCATTTCGCACTGGTCACCTTTATTCGATGAATGTACATGTTTAAAATGACGCATTGGATTGGAGAGTATAAAGATTTGTAGTCAATAAATGTGTCGTTGCACATCTGCAGAAGGATGCAACTTCACGCTCATCTCTCACGAATGGACTAGCAAAACCCCGATGGTTTGGTCTTGGAAGGTTGTGGGATAAAAAAATGTCTTTGTGTAGGCTGTAATAATAATCCTTATGAACCGCAATAGATTAATCGCCAATCCTTGACAGAAATTTACATGTTACCTATTTATTCAATCAAGGAACCAAAATGTATATCAAGAGCTTCCTAGTTGAAGACAAAAAAAAATTTTAAGATCAAACTACCCAGGTACTTCAAAATGAGGCAAGTAATTCCAATTCTTACCGTTTTTCAATTACGTATTCAATATGCTGTAATTTTGTTGGATCTATGAGATCTTAAGTTATAAAACATAATCTAAATTGGCAGTTACGGTATAAAAAAACAATAGTAAAGATAATTTATCAAATCGATATAAGAATACACAATGCATTAGCCGTGAAAGACTATGACGCAAGTTCTCCTAATAAGCATTACAGACCTGTAACTATGACAGATATAATATACACAAAGAAAAGCAGTATATTTTGATCTGTGACACTGGGAAGTCTGGGAACCACCTTGGCCCAATTCCAAAGGAGCGTGCCAAGTCTATCGATTGCCTTCGGTGAAAGAAATGTTCATGATCACACAGACATTGTATTTTATATGGCGCTGCTGGTTTAACTAACCCTACTCTGGTTAATGAGGGCTATCGTTTTAGCGCTCACCAGTTTGCGCCACTGTAGAGTAAGGTCCTGTCACTTGCTAGTAGCGAAGACAGTGGCACCATCTGGTGAGTGCTAAAGTGGTAGGAGGACTATCGCATTTGCACTCATCAAGATGGCGCCACTGTAGAGTAAGGTCCTGTCAATCGCCAGGGGTGCCAAGGCCAACTGTTAAGTATAAAAACGATAGCCCTCATTATTGTGAAGGTCGCGGGGGGTGCTTGGAGGCGGGCGGCGCAGGACCGGTCGTTGTGGAAATCATTGACAACACGTCACACACACAAAAATACCAATACATTTTTTTTCCTTTATATTTTAGGGTTCCACCGGTTCTAATTCTAAATGTACAAATTTTAGTAAGGAAAGGGAACAAGTGTTTACAAGATCAACAGGTGGAGTCAATATCACGCACTCCCTGCCTGCCATATAAATATTACGTAAGGTTTGTTTACGTTTATGATGCGTCATAATTTTGTAAGTTAGAAGATATCTAAGGTTTAAGCCTTTTGCACTTCAATTGATATTTCTATTGGATTGCGAATGATGTCGTTTTTTAAGTAATTTTATTAAAACTAGAGATGAAACGGATATCCGGTAACTATCCGGTAGGCCGGATATCCGGCCTAAATTTACTATCCGGCCAGATACCGGATATTTAAAAACTACGACAATTTCCTATAATAAAATGAAATACATTAATCTTTGAAGTAAATATCAATAAAGTGGCTTATAATAATGACGGCTTTTATTTAAAATCCAAAAAGTTACAAAACACCATTAAGGCCTTGTAAAAAACTAATTTATATTTCTGGGCTATTCACTCTAATGACGAATACATAAATAGTAATCTGTTAATGTCGAAATATTGCCAAATAAAATAGACGATCTTTTTTTTACTGATGGTCTGATGACATGATGCAGTTCAGTCTAATGACATGTAGCAGTTCAGTCAGATTACGCAGCAAGTAAACTAATTTAATTTTTGCTACAATCACACAGTGACGATGGCAACCGAAATCGCCCGAATTGATCTGCCCCTTAGACAAATTGCAAAATCTGACATTCTATTCGGAGTCGGACGGATTTGATTTTCGAAAAGTGTGACTTATCTAGTCTACTAGACCCACTGATCGCGTTCGAAGCTCCTGTGTAGCGCTAAACTCGTCACGACATGCAACGTGACAATGGGCCAACTATCCGGCCGCCGGATATCCGGCTATCCGGCCTAGCAGCTCGCCGGATATCCGGTATCCGGTATCCGGCCAAACAACTATCCGTTTCATCTCTAGTTAAAACAATAGTAGTTTTACTATCATTTTTAGTATGCATACGAATGAATATGAATATTTTAATTCATAATTATGCTAACGTGAGAGGATTAACGCACATGTATTATCAATACACAAAGATAATCTGCTGTCGCTAACGCAGAAAAGAAGCAGGGAAGTCGAACCTTAACTTCGAACTCCTCCTATGTTCTTCTGGTTAATTTCGTTGCGGGTCCAATGACAGTTTAACTTTCACCCGGGACAAACTTGACCTTCACTGGTTGGGTTTTTATTGGCGGTCAAGCTGTAGATCCTGTCTACACAGGAGTTGCAGCGGTGGGAACGAGAGGTGGGAATAGTCCCGTTTAACGCATAAAAGAGGCGCCAGCAGATTAAGTGTATGTAGTTCGTTAAAAGTGTAGCATGGTTTTTTTTACCTGCTATTCAACTTTGTCTACCCTAATCCCTTGCATAAACTAAACACCCACAAGATTAAAGACCAAGATAATGTGAAATACAACTCTCAAAAATACAATTTACTATGGTTACATTCTGATATGAAGGGGGGATGGGCCTCCCTAACTCAGTTTGGTCAGCGTAGGGAGTCTAAGGGAGTGTAAGCCAAACCCTTTATTTACTAGTAAATTGTAGAAGGTCATGTTCCTGCAGTGGACTAAATGGCCTAATGATGATGATGAGGAGAAGATACTTACAAACATCACTCAGGTGGGCGCTCTGGTCGCCGGCATTATGCACTACGACCGCATCGGGGGCCACGCCTTCTGGAAAACAGCACGGCATAAGAGGACGGACAACAAGCAACCAAAGAACAAACTTTATGGATCACCTCGCAGTATAAATACAGCAATTTATGTTGCTTAGGCGTGGTATACACATAAGCGAGACGACACAAAAAACAAAGCTTCCTCCAACAACCAAACGCAATATTCTTGAAGGATACATACATACATACATACAATAAATACATAGCTACATTCGATTGTATAGTTATGTGTATAACACCCCTTAAGCCAAACAAAAGGTGAAAATAATAAAAAATCTGAGAAATACTGCGGCCCATTAATGCTCCTCACTCTGAAGAAGACCAACAGTGATATTTGCTTACATTATAACATGTGGGGATAAATTCATAAAGTTTGTTCCAATGAAAAGTCCTTCACCAAAACTAATTAATTCTACTAATTACATTGACAACATCAATATGCAACAAGACACGCTTCGGCTAAAATTACAAGAAGTAGTGCCACTCTCATGCATGGTGACTAATCACAATTCAACATTGAAAGAGGAAAAAATGTTAATTAGCTGAAACGGCTATTACAGTTTTTTTTTAATAAGAGGTCCAATGTATACTAGGTCACTGCACTGCTAATAAATCTGGGTAATAATTATTTGTAATTTTAATTTTATTTGTGAAAAAACAAATTAAGAGAAATTACAAGGTCTCACTTTTGTAAATAAATAAAATATATCCAATCCAACCACCTGTCTCAACTAAGCCTTATGATTCGACTTGCTTAATTTATGATTTCGCGTCCGCGGACCAAGCGATCCAAAGAATCAATGGTAAGCTTTGCCAAAATACAATCTTTTTTATAATCAATATTTCAGAAAACCCTACGGTTTTTAGACCCGTACACAGAAACCTAATACAAGTTGAAAAATGCAAAAGGCCATTGGGTTATACCGGTATGCAAAATTCGAAATATTAAGTTTTTAATGATCGCAGCTTCTACAAACCGGTTTTTTCCTGCACATCGGTTATTTATTATTCGCGGAACAAATAGCGAAATTGACTTCGAGACCTCTAAAATAAATAGTAAATAATTTTCTTGCTATTTTTACTAAACTCAAAGAACGTGTAAGATATGAATGAGTTGTGTTTTTATGGTTTTTATTAGCGCGAATCCTACGTCTCTACTCAACATTTTATGGTAATAATATTGCGTGCTTTGTTAATAGTAATAGCATTTTAGTCATGAAAACTAAATTTAGTGAAGCCATGGAAGACTTATGGCGTCAGTTAATAAAACCCCTCGGCGCTTTGGGAGCGCATGACATGACATGACTGATTTCCAGAAATAATCATTTTTACCATTTCTAAATTAAATCGGCCATTATTGGTTCAAACATATTTTGAACTGACATACATATTAACTGATTTATACAGGGTGGAAACGATAAGTGATCTCACTCGATTATTTCTAAACTATACAAGATATCGAAAATCTGGTTATTGATCCTGAAAGTGCTTCACGAGCTCTTTCAAATGGTATCAGTAAATACGTTGCAAAATTAACTGGATCTATCCGAAAATTCAATGTTTTCAGGCTCCATACTAAATGTATGCCAGGCAATGATATTAAAGAACTATAGATATGTTACGTTCATAGAAATTACGATTTGAATCCGTGCCGAGCTATTCCAAATTGCACACATTGACAAATGTAACTGATAAGTGAAACAAAAGATACGAAATAGCACGCAAATGAAAGAGATAGCTATAGTTTTAACGATTCTGCACTAACTAATCTATGTCCGCAGCGCACGCATCCTTATCGCTCTAACGTCAAAACAAGATCGCTTTCTCTTTCTTAACTTGAACATGGCGCATGGCGTCTTGATTGTTTGCATAAATAATTGAAAATATAAATACTAAATAATTTTGAATAATCACATGTGGTAAGAGATCCCTTGTATTTTGTTTACTTTAGAGTCATAATTGGTACACTTTCGAAACACACACGATGGCATTTTTTATTTATTTTGGTAAGAACAGGAACTTACGGTGTGGTACGCACGCGATTGCGCACGACGCAGGCCACACGAAGACTAAACACAAGACGTCCCAATTGGGACGTATTTGAGTATTCACAGCGCGAGCGCTTATAACATATCTGCTTTTGTTTTTATATAATATCATTGATGCCAGGCATACAATATTAGAATAGTTATTTTTTTTTATTCAATTATAAACACTTAAATTGAACTCCAAATTGCATTCTTATTTAAAAAATATTCATGGAAAACATTGGTTTTAGGCTTTACTTGCTATAATATTATCAAGACATGAGTGCCATGACTGTGGCAGACGTGGCAGTACTAAATGTATGGAAGCTGGAAACATTGAATTTTCGAATAGATCCAGTTTATTTTGTAACCTATTATTGGTACCGTTGGATAGAGCTTGTGAAGCACTTTCAGGATCAGTAGCCAGTTTTTGGATATCTTGTATAGTTTTTAATATTATGTGGTTTTACTAAATGTATGGAAGCCGGAAACATTGAATTTTCGGATAGATCTAATTTATTTGGTAACCTATTATTGGTACCCTTGGATAGAGCTCGTAGGGCACTTTCAGGATCAGTAACCAGTTTTTGGATATCTTGAATAGTTTAGAAATAATCGAGTGAGATCACTTATCGTTTCCACCCTGTATACCATAATTTTAGATAATCTCTGTTTTTGGGAATGATTTTTTTATGATTGTTGTTTCTCTGTCAAGCTAGGATGAGACTATCTTAGGATACCCTATGACACTAGAGTACTAATGATAAAAATGGTTATTACATAGGCTTCGAGGAGCAGGCGTAATTTAATAGTAAACTAGCTTTTGCCCGTGGCTTTGCTCGCGTGAAATTTTGTCTGTTACAGAAAATCTTTATCGCGCACGTCCATGTTTCATATCTCTATTATCCTGATCTCTAGATCAAATTTCATCGAAATCGGTTCAGTGGTTTAGGCGTGAAAGCGTAACAGACGGACTGAGTTACTTTCGCATTTGTAATATTAAATAGGTAGGGATAAACCTACTTAAGACCAAGAACCTAACACTCATTTTGTTAAGGCTGAGTATGGTAGGGTGAACGCACTGCTCGCCGACCTTGCATTGAATGAAACTTATTTGCGCGACGCGACTTACGAAGCATATCTATTTTTACAGGATTAGCAAAAAAGTGTCAAAAAATACTTATGTACCTATTCCTTAAAAAAATTTCATCTTTTTTAAGTCGCTTTTCAAAATAGTATTTTTAAGTATTTCTTAAAAACTTGCAACTTTTTTTAAGTCGCTTGTCTAAATATGGAGTAGAAATGCTAATTTAAATGTTGTGCTACTTAGCAAATGGGTATCGTTTTTCCAAGTGAGGTAGACATGACAAAGATAAAAAGCAAAATCATGAGTTTCAGTTGTCTATGCTTTTTAAAGGATGATGATGGAAAAATGGATTGGATGACCATTAGAAGATCATTGAACTACTTTGAACGTTGCGGTAGGTTATTTTTAGAGGCGAAACTTATACGAACGGAGCAAAGCAACACGCAAGTTTGGCAAGGAAGCATTGTAATTTGTAACTCCTTCAATACTGGACGGGATTTGATGAAATGCTATAATATCAATATAGCAATATTATAAAAAATCACGCCAGCGAATCTAGGGAATAAATTATCAAGACCGATTGCCGATGTGTTGCGATCAGCTAGGGTTACCATCAATCCAGATTTTCCAGGATATTTACTAACTTTAAAATGCAAAAAAATAATAACTCTAGATGATAAAAACACACGCAAGTTATCTTAAAAACGTATAACATTTAATTTTGTGACTAATGTGTCCGAACTTTTTATTAGGCACCCCACAGACTACAGACTTTTTGTCTGACGATAGTTTAGTCGGGCAGTTGATCAAATCCCACCACCACGAATGGCTTTACCAACCTCACGGTTATTGTGGCCGAATGCAGGCGGAATATTGCGTCTGCTAGGCAGTCGGGCAGTTGATTAGTATAAACATGTATGGAAGTGCGCACGCCGCACACTACATCAATTTGGTGTCGGCCGATTCCTCATACAAATTGGAAGCCGACCCAACTATCGGCCGACTAAACTAAAAGTCTGTAGTCTGCGGGGTGTCATAGCCTAGGCGCAGACCACCGATTTTTAGTTGGCCGATAGTTAGGTCGGGTTAATAATAACTATGAAGTGTATCGGTGTAATGTGCGCACTTTCATACATTTCCATACATGTATGAAAGTGCGCACATTACACCGATTTGCTATCGGGCCAACTATCGGCCGACTAAAAGTCTATAGTCTGCGGGGTGTCTTGTGGTGACTATTGCGACTAGACGAGTCTGGTTTCGCGCGTGGGCGGATCTGGCATCTCAATGTGGAATTAGACTGAAGCTTAGGAATTTTCACGCAATTTCCGATGTATGAGTTGACAAGGTTTGTGTTTTATTATCTCTTACTATTCGAGCACATTTATTAGATTTTGAACAGAATATTTTTAAACACGACGGAAGCTAATGCAATGCATCAAGGAAATATGTGTACAGTAAATACTAGGTATAGCTAAGCAGTTTAAGAATTAAGAAGAGTGAAAAATATGAGCACTTGCCTCTTCTTTAATTTCTTAAACATTTTAAAGTATAGAGACCTGTTTAATTTAGGACTGATTGAGTGTTTGGTTCTAATTTTTGATGAGTGTAGAAACGCGAATTTGTATAGAATTTTCCGTCTAGTTTTTAGTTGAGCAACACACTAAGTACTCTTATAAACTTTAAAATTTGTAAAGCCTCAGATGTATTAGTTTTAACATGTAAAAATGTAACTCACAAAAAAATCATGATTTCGCATGCATTAATTAATGAATAACCAAGCCTAATTCGAACAAGTATCTGGTTTAGTGTCTGAGTTAAACAAGTACTATTCTGTGGTTAAACTACGAACAGAAGGACATAGTACAAACGTGGCGAATTTTA